GTGCCTTCCCTTTTGAAATTCTCATCAAAGGGAAAAAGATAAGGTATAATAATATGGGTGATTATTCATTATGGGTAAAGTCTTTGAATAATGCATCAGAGATCCATTAAACTAAATGGAAATAATATATTTTAACTGCCCATCCACAAACCAGTTGAGGATATTGAGTAATGAATGGCACAGCAGGGCCCGTGGTTCTTAGTCACTCTGGTTGTGGACAGATAATGAGCAAGGCATGTATGAGATCCATAGGCATATGGGAAGTTCCCTCTCACTCTGTTCTTAAGGAAACTGTACAATTGCCTTAAAAGTATTAGCAACCATAGGAGGTATCTGCCCTTTAAAATTATATGGCCATCACAGTCAGGATCTAATAAATCCAAACCTAAGGTCAAGTGTAGTATGGAGGAAAGGACATTGGATTCCAAAACCAGAGATCCAGCCTGTAATCTCTTGCTTTGTGACCTTGTACCAGTTATCTGTTGTCACAGTGATGGTGTGTAATAAACCACCCACATCAGTGGCTTACAACAGTAAGCATTGGTTTCGGCTTGGGAGCCTGTATAGGTCAGCTGAGCAGCTCATATGTCTGCGGAGACTGTGGGTTGGTGAGGTGCCTCTACTACTCTTAGCTGAGCTCTGTCATGTGTCCCCAGGCTCAGTTGCGACAGCTGCTGATTGAACTCTGTGCTGCAAAGTCACTCATCTACCAGCAGGCTAGCCTGGACGTGGGTCAGGGTCCCCTGAGAAGGGAAGCTTGGAGCCGGAACAAAGTCCCTTCCTCTGCATTCTGTGGGCCAACACAAGTCAGGAAGCCAGCCTGGAGGGAGCCACAGAGTCCTATTACAGAGGGGAGGAATGGGGACCATGTTTATAATCAGGCTGTCACAGTTCCGGGGCAGGTAGTTTGACTTCTCTGAGTAGGTGTTACCTTGTCTGTAATCCACAGGTGGTTGGTTGTCCAGCCAAGTGAAGTTAACAAACGGGTGGTGTAGGGAGCAAAGCCAACGAATTTTAAATATATGAAAATGCTAGTGGCCATGCTGGGAGATTCCTATTTCTAAAATCAGAAAACACCAAATAGTTCTGGGGTTCAGAGCTGCCTGCAGACGCCCAGTCCCAATCACCACACCCGAGGCCAGGGACTGAGGCCCGACTCACAATTTGGCAAACTTTAGGACCATTGCATTGTTTGTTGCAGGAAATAAATCGGTCTTGTCTTTGCATTTTGAAAATAAAGTATCGTCTTTATTCCAGTGACCACTGGCTACGTTTTTGAAGCATTCTCTTCTCATCTCTACCACCCGCTCAGTTTTGTGCATATTTTTGTAATATCCCTGGTAGCAGTGGTTGGAAGTCAGCACAAGCGTTTTCCAAGTAGCCATCTTCCTCTCTGGAAATGCCAAGCAGACGTGGGAGCTGAACATCCTCTCCACTAAATAAATGCCTTCGCGCTCCCGGCCAATAGGCATGGTCGCTCGGAAAGCAGCTTCTGCGCAGTCTTTATCTCTTCGCCTTTGAGAGCATTCGCATTCCCCGTCCAGAACACCCTCTCCCCAGATGCTCTCGGCTCCCTCAGCAGCTCTGGTCAGCGGTGTGGCTTTCCGTTGCCACCTGGTGCATAAGGAGAAGAGGTTTCTGGGAGAACCAGGGCGCAGACCCTTCAGGAGGAAAATCCACAGGCGAGGCAGAAGTCAGGCAGCCCTTGCAGGCAGTGCTCTGCCAAATGCCACTCGAAACATCAAGCAGCCTTGGCGTGGATACCTTAAATCATATCCCTAATTAACAGGGTGAGCGGTGTGTGTTGTTCCCACCGCAGACTGTGCTTGAGAGATCGGTAGGTTAGACCCCTCGCAGCTTGGATTTTGAAGGCTGTGTAGCCTGGTTGTGAGTGAGGCTGGATGGATGCCCTGCAGTGTGAGGGATGGAGACTGGGCCAGCACAGGGGTTATCGAACTTGACCCTGGACACAGAGGCCTTCAGCAGCACCGGGCGGCCCTGTTCACCCACAGCCAGGCCGCTGCTTGGGACTGTGGGTGAATTTCCCCCAAACCACCTTCATCTTAAAACCTGCTTAAAGGCTAAAGGCAAACAAATCCTTTTTGAAACTTGAGTCCGTTTTAAGACATCTTTACAAAAATCCCCTCTAAACCATTCGCTGTTATGTCACATAATTTCCTTTTCCTGAGAGGAACATTCCTGGTGATTACCGCTATGAGGAATTATAAGTCTCACCCTGTAAGAAGCTCTGTTCGGCTTCCCACGGAGATAATGTGGGACTAAGGCGATTTTCTGAATTTCTACCTGAGGTGCTTTTTCATTTTGCTCTGACTGCTAAATCCTTTCCCCTCGCCCTTCCCCCGTGCCTTTCTTGAGTTAGAATGCGGTGTGGGATGGGTGATTTAGGACTGAGTTGATCCTAGCACACAGTTCAGTTTGGGGGCAGAACAGTAGAATTTACAATCAACTTTTCTTCAGAATATATATCTTTAGATGTTTTCAATATTATTTTGTAATTGTATCCTGGGTTATTTTATGTTTTTATAATCTGTGTATCCCGTGGCCAGCTGCTTCTTTTCAAAACTTTAGCTATTCAATAAATAGAAAGTGTTACCTAATCTTAGATTCAAATTAGGTTTAATTTAAAATGCCTTTTTATTTTTAAATGTTTGTTTTTAATTTGCAATTTTATTTCCCATTATCTTCCAATCCATACGTCTTGGGTTTTATTATTAAAAATGGGTTGATATTTGGGTGTGTGTTTTGTTTGTTTTTTACCAACTATAGGCAATAAATTTTAGAACTTAATTTATATGGGCTCCAAGGGTAACCTGTACATATCAGATTTCTCCAGAAAAAAAAAAAATTTCTAGAAGAAAGTTAAAGGAGACAAATTCCAGGCCCATAGAAGTGCAGCTGCCTAACAGAGCTGAGTGTACATAAGGGAATTGCTGTGACCAGGCGAGGTGTTGCAGTACGAGACTTTAGAGGGCCCTTTGCAAAGTCACCCCACTTTTAAAATTCTGTGTTCCTCTGGGCTTTCAGACAGAACAGAAAGGAGGGTAGTTAACATGCACAGAGCACCTGCCTTGTGCCCAGCTCTCAGCTAACTCTTTTCATTCTTCCTACAAAACACTGACTTATTCACCCCATTTTACAGATGAGGAAACTGAGGGTCATAGAGTAATCTGCCTAGGCATAGAAGTGAGGAATCAGAACCCGAGTCCAACAGAACCCAAGCACCCTGAGCTGATCACACAGCACCTGCGGGCTCCTGTGCCCAGCCCTGGGCCTGGCTCTCCTTGCAGCACATGAGGGCAGGGAGGGAACAGACCCGCCTACTGGGGAAATAAGCTGGGACTTTCACTAATGATGGCAGCGAACAGTAGGTGGCAGTATATCCACACAACAAGGGTGGTGCCGAGTTAAACCAGTAGATTTCTTTTTCTGAATCCTGTATCATTTTCAAAGAAGCACTTTATAGAGTCATCTGAGCAGTTTGGACCAAGCATCCCTACCCATTGGAATTTTTTAAAAATCAAATACAAATGTCCACCATCAGGCCAGTGGTTCTTTGCCTTGTCCCTGTGAAGCAGTGATGCTGGTTTAGACAAGCCTGCAATCCTGGCAACCCAGGGGCCCCCGTTTGCCTTTTCTCTCTCTTCTCTTACACACAGTCCTGGCTACTAGGGATGCTAAGAAAAATTACTTCTTTAAAAACTCCCCATCGCCAGACAGCAGTGAAATGTGTTCCACTTCGAGAGAGGTTAGGACAAAGAACTGGATTCCCTGTCTGGCCTGGTGGACAACAGACCCACAGCTGGGTGACCCTCCGTGACCCCACCTCCAGCACCATCATGCCTAGAGCCTCAGGAGCTCCTAAAAGCGCCCCCTGTGGCACTGAGTGCACGAGGAAGGAAGGCGGCTGTGGAGCCCACTGGGTCACAGTTGTGCTTCTGCCTGGGTTGGGGGTTTCCTTGCATGCCTCTAGGGCAGCGGTTCTCAACCTGTGGGTCGCGACCCCTTTGGGGGTTGAACGACTCTTTCACAGGGGTTCGCTAAGGCTGCCGGAAAACACATATATAATTACATATTGTTTTTGTGATTAATTGCTATGCTTTAATTATGTTCAATTTGTAACAATGAAAATACATCCTGCATATCAGATATTTACATTACGATTCATAACAGTAGCAAAATTACAGTTATGAAGTAGCAACGAAAACAATTTTGTGGTTGGGGGTCACCACAACATGAGGAACTGTATTAAAGGGTCGCGGCATTAGGAAGGTTGAGAACCACTGCTCTAGGGTGAACCGTGGTGGAGTTTGTTTTTTTAGTCTTTATTGCTGAAAGTATTACATAGGTCCTCCTTTTCCCCCATTGACCTCTAGGGGGAACTGCGGTGTGTGTTTTTCTTAATGACAGAAGTGAGCTCCCTTGGTTGGCTTTTGGCAACTGCCTTAACTAAAACTTTCCTTCAGTTGACCCTATTCTGTCTGTTTGAGGGAGAAAGGAGTCTTCAGAGAATTGTGGCCGGGGTGCTGGCTCGGAGAGCGTCCTTGGACTGTCCCCAGGGGACGGGACACTAGACGACACCATGCGGCTTCATTTGGCCGAGGACGCCCCATCGTCTTCGTCGACAGGAATACAAACTCAGTAACTCACACATTTTTATTGGGCACCAACTGTGTGTTTGGCATTGTGCTGGGGGCAAAATATGTGGCCTAAATTATTTTTCACCTAATGGGAAATGAGTGTGGAAAAAAGTAATACAACATTAGTAAAAGTTGTGATGTTATCACTTACCAAGTTGTCAAGTGATCAGTATTATCCTCTGGTATGTTACTGCTGATGAATTAGGAGTCATATTGGTCACCCACTTCTCCATGTGAAGAATACATAAAACTGCCTTTTATTAGCAAAGCCAGACAGTTCTATTGGGTGCGCCCAGATCGCAAATAGCTGAGTGGATTGGTGTCCTGTCTGCTTCTGCCCAGCCTGCAGAGTGGGATGAACCTGCAGATCTGCTTTGTCAACGACAGCGGCAGCGACAAGGACAGCGATGCGGATGACAGCAAGACGGAAACCAGCCTGGACACCCCCTTGTCGCCCATGGTGAGTCAGAGCTGCCGCCGACGCTCAGTGGGTGTGCTTTGCTGGCCATGCAGCCTCTTTGCATTTCCTGACGTGGCCTGCTCCTAAGATGTGACAATGATTGGAAACCCAAACCTGTGACACAGCAGTGCTACATAAGCTCTGTTAAAGTTAGCATCTACTTTCATATTAGACCATAAGAGAAATTGCACGTGTCCTAAAAAAATTTTAAGGACCATATGCTACACACCAATCCTTCCCTACTGGGTGTAGAAATATATGAGTACAGACCAGCAGTAGGACACGTTTTTAAAGGATGGGCGGCAGGGCTCAGGGGAAAGCTCGTGCACAGAGGTGATGTTAAGAGAAACCAGCAGGATGAAGTGTGTATAGTATTTCTTACTCACTCCTTGCCCACATGCTATAACAGACTGCCTTCTGATCATGGGACCCTGTTGCCGGAATTCTTACCACTCAGTGAGGTCTGCGCATCTCTTTTCTCACCAACCAATCGTGTTTTCTTACCAAGGAACCCATGTTTGTCACTGGGTATCTGAGGTCCTGTCCACTCCAGAGAGCAACACACTGCCTTAGTTCTGGGTTAAATATGATGTTGTGTCTTTTGAGACCAAATCAAAGAAATGTCTCAAGTGTGTCATAAATCTGTTTCTCCTA